GGAGTCTCACCCTTTCGCCCAGGCTGGAGTGCAGTGGTGCAACGTGGGCTCACTGCAACCTCTGCCTTCCAGGTGAAAGCACTTATCCTGCCTCAGCCTCCCAAGTAGCTGGGATTACAGGCACCTGCCACCACAGGTTGGCTTTTTTTTTTTTTTTTTTTTGTATCTTTAGTAGAGGCCAAGCTGACGGGACTGCTGGAAAGATCCTTTTCCTACCGACAAGCAGCCACCTGAGCTTTTCATTGTTGCTGCAGTTGGTGGGTCTTTCTCAGGCCTCCCTGAGCTCTTTGCCTTCCCTACCCTGCCAAAGGCAATGCTTTTTTCTCTCCTTTCCCTTTATTATCTTTTCTGTTACTCAGGATGACCGTCTTGCCCAGAGGCCACAAGTTGAAACTCCTGATTGAAGGTTGAATTAATGGTAACAGGCCCAACTAGGGGCAAGTTTGAGGCTTGTCAGTTTGATACTGATTGCTAAGTAGAGAGGCAATCAATATCAAAAAATATGTGTTTTGTCACACATATTTTGCTCCGGCCAAAATGAAAAAAGATAATTTTCCCCTGTGTTGTGGCTTGGCCCCCTGTGCTGTGGGGCAGCCAGCCATGTCACTAGGGCCACTCAGGGAAAAGGAACCCAGAAGCTTGGCATGCTGGCAGAAGGGTACAAATTTCTTACCAAACAGAATTCTGGCATCTCTCTATATATGCAAACTCATTGAATGAATGGCAAAAATCACTGTTTATCTCCTCTGTAAAGTTTTAATTGGAAAATGCATTTGTGATACTAGTCTTAAGACATAACAAATCTGTTGTACTTTGTGCTATAAATGTCTTTCTGTATTGTTGTCATTAAGAGGGGGTACCTCAGGAGAGAAAGCTGGCCTAGGAGGTTCAAGATGGCCCAGCAAGCTGGTCAGTCATGTCCTTGGAAGACTGACCTTGTAACCATGTGACAGTACTTTCTCCTGGTCTCCACCATCACAATGGTGGCCCAGGTTCAGGGTTCAATTTCCAGCTTAGGGAATGAGTACTTTCTTGTTTGATATTTTGGTGACCTTTACCATTTGTTGATTCTCTTTCCCTCTAGGAACCATCTCAAGTTTTCCTTTCTCAGAATACCTGTGAGGTTGCCTTTGGCAAAGTTCGAAAGCCAGAGAGATTTGACCTGAGTAAAGTCTGGTAATAAGAAATTTAAAAGAGCACTTGTGGGCGGCAAGACACCCAGGTGCCGAGACAAGAGATCGAGGGCACGAGCTGT